CACACACACACACACACACACACACACACACACACACACACACACACACACACACACACGGGGGGCGGGGGGAGAAACTCTATAGAGAGAGATTATATATATGGAAAAGAACCAGGGGGACTTCCCTGGTGGCGCAGTGGTTAAGAATCCGCCTGCCAATGCAGGGGACAAGGGTTCGATCCCAGGTCCGGGTAGATCCCACATGCCGCGGAGCAACTAAGCCTGTGCGCTACAGCTACTGAGCCTGCACTCTAGAGCCAGCAAGCCTCAACTATTGAGTCCACGTGCTCCAACTACTGAAGCCCACGCGTCTAGAGCCTGTGCTCCGCAACAAGAGAAGCCACCATAATGAGAAGCCCGCGCACCGCAATGAAGAGTAGCCCCCGCTCACTGCAACTAGAGGAAGCCCACACACAGCAACGAAGCCCCAACGCAGCCAAAAAAAAAAAAAGAAACCGCAAAGGTCAGAGAGTTGGTGCTTACAGTACAGATGTGGGAAAGTACATGGCCCAAGCCAAGTTTCTTTTCATTAAATCTCAGACCCCCAAGAATAAATATTGAGATGTACAGGGCAGGGTGCTAGTAGGCCTACCAAAGAAATAAAGCTCTGTGGGGTTTTTTCCCCTCCTTTTTCTCACCAGGACTCTCCCACCACATTTTCCCCTCATTCTCACCGTCCAACCTCAATCTTGAGAGTCCTTAACTGGCCATAACTGGAAACCTACAATTTACTGTATTTACCAAATAAAGTGAGCTTGCCTGTATCCATTTAAAAGGCTGTTTAAGATGTGCGTAAGTGTATATTAAAACCAAAGGCAAAGAGTATTTGAGAAAGTAGAAAACAAAATGAAGAATGTCAGACCAGGGTTCTAGTACCAACTGTGAAACTCAAAAGAGGCATCTTGCTTGAGCCCCAGTTTCCTCATTTATATATAAAATTAAGAATAATATCAAGTAATCTTAGAATTTGAAACAGCGTGTCCACGTGTAATTTTGATTGTCTAGTGGCCCTCATGGGGCACAGCGACCATCCGCACTGCCCTTCGCCTGGGCTGAGGGTGTAACGGGGGGGAGGGCGGGACAGGGGCGTAAGTAGCTTCCCACCTCCTTAGTAGCGCCTTATAGTTTCCTGGACACCCTGGATTCTGGTAATGCTGAAAAGGGATAATGAACTCCAGTATGAAGCCACACTGATACAAAGAAAATCACAGCTGCCTGCCTTACTGGGTCAGGCCCACAGACCAAGCTCCCAAATCTTCCTTCTGCCACAAGCATGAAGAGGCCAGCAGCTTGCCGCCTTCCAACTTCAACCTCGAAATGTTGGCGAGTGCCTTCGACTGTAATGTTACTCATAGTATACCATTATGACTCTAACATCTCAGCATTTATCTAAGCTTATCCAAACTTTGTATTTTCATTGTACTCAGAGTAAGTTCCACAAGATTTCCTGCTGTGTTACTTCCTTGAGCTTTCCTGACTTCACCTTTCTCAAGCTTAAAAGGGACCCACCTTCATTTAGTAATTCCAGGTTATTTGCGTCATCCAGAACCACTCATGATTTTATGAATACTAATCCTTCCCACATTTTTAAAAATTCAGTATCTTGTCAGCCCTCACATGCCAGTCCCTCTCCCTCCTGTGGCTGATGACCACCTTATTCACTCTTCGGTTTGTAACTAAGCACTGTATTACCATGGAGCCCGTTCAAGGAAGCCCAGTACACCAGGGAGAGCAACTCATCAACCATGTGACTGGGGGCAAGTATCTAACCTCTATGAGCCTCAATTTTCTCATCTGTAAAACAGAATAATAATACCGGAAAGTGTTCTGTGATGATTAAATAAGGTAATAAATGCAACACAGAGCCTGGGATAGCGCAGGTTAATGTTATCAGAGTCATTATTATTCCTGGTATCTCCCTCAGGTGAGCAACGATTATGGTACCTTCCCTATCAGACCAGCTTAACCCACACAAACAGTCCCTCTCCTTTCATTTCCTGTCACCGAGAGATAAAAACAAAGGATTCCACACTCTGCCTCTCCGTTTCAGCCCTTCCTACACCCAGCCTGCTGTCCTGAGGACTTAACTCCGGAGTGGGTACTGTCTCCTGGCAGGAACCTAACCCAGATCTCAGGGTCACTGGCAAATGCATCAGGAGAGCCATTTAATGTCGCTTATTTTTCAGCAAAGTCAGGCACAGATAGACACACATATATGTGTCAGATATATAACAGAGATCTATCTGGCAACCCTTTTCTAGCTTCCCCCTTTTGAATACTTTGGGTGACTGTTGGTAAGATGAGATATAATACAGCTTGAAAGAGCTGCTGTGGTGTCCACTTCCACCATCCTTCTCCCTGGTGAGGAATGTCATGCTTTTCTTCAAGAATCAAGCCGTGCACGATGGGACTGCCAGCTTCTTTGTAAAGGTCCATCTTGAGCTGTGTTAACTACTGGCCAATGCTCCCTCTCACCGCGTGGCTGTTAAGTCAGCCCAATCTCCTCTCTCCTTGCCCTTGAATCCTTTCTACAGGTTCATGTTAATTCTCAACCTTGCCAAGAGTGTGAAGAGACACATGCAGACTTCCTGGAGTTGGGGAAAACGGCCAGAAGCTAACCCATGCCCATTAGCAGGACAGTAAGTTGCCCAGATGACAAATTTAGCCAGGACAGCAACGTATGCTATTAACTCTTATGCTAAGTGGGTGCCTTTTCCATACTATGCATAGTGTTGAAAGAGTTCTATTACCTTTCAACATCTAAT